TTCATGGCAGGACCTCTAAAATCTATATTATTATTATTATTATTATTAATTATTATTATTATTATGTTCCATTGTTATCACTTGTGTCGTATTTGCCAAATATTGAGATGTTTAAGCTTACACTGAATGTAACATTCTGAATTCGTTGCATTGTCGCAATTGGAAATTCAGAAAGTCTGAGTTCTCATTTATTTGTATAAATAAGAAAATAGTGATATTCAAGCCAGCACAAAGAAATAAATGAGAGTGATCAAAATCACTGCTACGTGAAGATAAACAGTTATCATCCGGGTTGGTTACAACAGGACATTTACCCAAAAAACTCCAGGATGGGAAAAAAAACCTAGTTTATTATAAAAGGAGGAACATTAAGACACTGTTGTATCACTTGATTTTTTGCCTTACTATAGCACATAGTAACTTCTTAAAGGGAAGTTTTCTTTCTATAAATGTTTAGCAGTTAAGATATGACTTAAGTGCCAGATCAGAATGATCTATTTTAACTAAAATGAGGGTTAAGTGCATTTATGCAGGGTGAAAAAAGGCTGATCTGAGATGACCTATTTGTGAAATGTAGCAAAAATTTTGAAAGTTTTTTATGTACAGTATTAAGAGTACAGATAGTTAGAAATATTTTTGCAGTGTGCAAAAAGGAAAAAACCTCTAGTGGACAGTATGAGTATCTCTTTTCAACATCCATTTCAGTTGTCCTTTCAAAATGGGAATTTACATTCATAAATCAGACCTAAGTGTTCGGAATAGTAGAATGTTCAAATGGAAATTCAGTATCTTTGTGGTAAAAATACACTTCAAAATACTTGCAGATAACTGAGAATGTATACTTTGTGATGCTAACTAGAAGGGAATGTACGTGCACTAATGTTAAAAAAAGTCAGCTTAGTCTTTTAACCAACAAAAGGTTTAACGCTTACAATGTGTAAGAAATCCATTGATGTTGCTGTGTAAAGATCCCAGTGAAGTTTATCAAGTATAATCCTTTCCATTCTCAAAATCTCAGCTGGAGAACATTTGCAATCACTCTGCACCGCCAGCTTCTTTACTGATGGTATTATCTGTTCAAAAACAAATGGAAAAATAATAAAAGAAGCTCAGTTCTTATGAAGTATTGTGTAATGGTGATGTGCGTACAATTCTCTGAAAGATGAAGAGTTGCTTTTTGGACTGTCCGTGTTATAACTGAATAACTCCTAAAACAATTCTTCTCCGAAATCAAAACATCCAGGATGCTCAACTGTGTATTACAAGACAATATTCTCGTAAGTTTGAATAAAAACTAATTCATCCATACCAATTCCTTATGTATATGAGTAAGTCCACTGAAGTAACCTAAATTGTGAAGTGTGAAAATTAGCCTCAACTGTGTAATCTGTACTTGAAGCTTTGGTTCATAATTCATAGTGGTTTGTTTTCCAAGCCACTAGTATCTTACTTGCTTAGAAATGGATCTTCTCCACACCAATCTCTACAAACACAATCTCTACAAGCACAAACAAATGAAGCTCCACTTTAAAATCCTGAGAATGTCAACAGTGTATATTTCTGATCTTTTCATGGCAGAGTTTACTAGAAACCAGGTTTTCCTATTGCTTCCCTACTGACCACACATAGGCAAATGCAGCGGGAGGTGAGTAAGTGACACAATGTGTGGCGTGCAAGTATGAAAGGACAGAGCTTGGGTTGTGATGTTACGATGCACGTTTCATCATTTTGCTGTCATTGTGGCTCGGGATGGATACGCACGTGACCACATCTGCATGGAATACAATCAGATTGCCAACTAAGGCCAAGGTTCAAAGGATGATTTAAGAAAGGGACCATTTTTTTAACAATATGGATTACAAGAAGCTGATGAATTTAATTCTAGATCAATGTTTCTCAACCTTGGCCACTTGAAGATGTCTGGACTTCAACTTCCAGAAGTCATGCTTGCTGGGGAATTCTGGGAGTTGAAGTCCAGACATCTTCAAGTGGCCAAGGTTGAGAAACACTGATCTTGATTATCTTGCAACTTTATCTTCAGGTACATGTCTATGACAGCAGTGCAGTGTTGCAGACTGCAGTGCCCGTTACCAGATGATACTGTGCTAAAACTGCAGCATGTACTGCAAGATGTTCCCATCCATGGACAGAGGCAGCAAATTCAGTGACTCAAAACTGACAGAGTTTACACAGCATGTTAAGATAAAATTTTTCAAAAAATTCTGCTGGGTTAGATAAGCCAACATGGGTGGATTCACGCATAACACATGAAGACACGGCTGAGTTCACACAGCACGTTAAGCTGAAATAAGCAAGTCTATGCCTTAGTGTAATGTCTGAACCCACATTCTGTACTTTTAATTCATTCTTGTGTTAACTGCATTCCTCCAGGCCCTCAACTGGCAGAAAAATATGCTGGCAACTGATCTGCCTCAGTTATGAGGTTTGCAGGTGGTTCCATCCTGACAGCTTTACTGTGGGACAAGTTAAGGGCAACGATTGGTAGATCCCCTGGCTTTGTTTCCCCTCCCATCCAATACCACCAACTGGCAGGAAATACCACCATCAAAGGTGCATTGGGACGGGACTAAGGGTGGGGCAGGTGCTAGGATGAAGTACAAGGAGGCTTTCTCAATGTGGCATGCAAACTCCCTCTGGCTTCACCTCCATCCTCCTGACCTGTCAGATGGGCTGTTTTGCACACAGGTAGATACACATTCAAAAATAGCCCAAGTGACATGGCCAGCATTTTCAGCTAGCAACCCACACTCCACCTTATTTTCCCTTCCTAAAAGAATGGCCTCTTGGTTGTTCGAAAGATTGTTGAACACATGTTTAATAACAAGACGAGTGATATTCTGGAAGAGGGATATATCAGTGTGCATAAGTAATCTGTGTCATGCCTGAACAGCACTTTGCAAGGCACAAGTCAGGCGTTACCTGGGAGATGCCTCCAAGGAAATCGGGTGTCAGGATCTCCTGCAGGCCAAAGACCCATGGAGGACAACGACCAAACGGACAGGTTTGTAGCAGCCTCAGTCAGCCAATCGGAGCTTGACAGCTGTCAGCTCCTCTATGCATCATCACCAAAATTGGGAATGAGGCATTGTAGGTTCTTCATAACCCCACATTTTTGTTGGGAAAGACAGAAAACACTACTTTAAAATGGGAACAGCTAAGGAAACATTTATGCTGCCTCTCCAGTGGGCTGCAGTTGAGACAAAGGCTGCATCATGAGGACAGATCCTTTACAGGTGGTTAGGGAGACATTGTAATCCCTTGGTTAGGAGGACATGAAGGCTGATGAATGAGCCATTCCATCCAGGCCCATTTAAAACAGGACAACATCTTGTGTATTACTCAACAAAGTCCAAACCTTTGCTTATTTAAAATGAAGCCTACCTCATCTTCTTCATTGATTTTTGCTGCTAGAAGCAGACAAGCAATTGCGATGCAACGGAGATGTTTTAACTGTGCCTGAAACACAGAGATAAAGAATAAAGGACCACTCTGAAGCAAAAAGTATATAAAACAATATTGCTGTGCAAGCTGCTGAACACACATACACACACACACACGCACACACATCATATATATCTATACATCAGATAAGAATAAATCAGTACCTAGAATGTATTTTATTTATCACTGAATTTATACCTGTCCTTTCTGTTTATTCCATCACTCAAGACCATATACAGCAATAAAAAAGATAGAGGGTAAGATGTAACATAATGAATAAAGGACCACTCTGAAGCAAAAAGTATATAAAACAATATTGCTGTGCAAGCTGCTGAACACACATACAGACACACACACGCACACACATCATATATATCTATACATCAGATAAGAATAAATCAGTACCTAGAATGTATTTTATTTATCACTGAATTTATACCTGTCCTTTCTGTTTATTCCATCACTCAAGACCATATACAGCAATAAAAAAGATAGAGGGTAAGATGTAACATAATACAATTAAAATTAAGGTCCTTTCTTGCATACTCAATGATCAAGCACCTAACAGTGTGGACATCTTCAGAAGGGCGTCTCCTGCTGATCTGTGGACCCAGCAGGGTTGGAAGGGGAGGGGGCCACTCTCAAAGAGGCAGGCCTCAAA